TGCCTCCCAGTAGTTTCTATAGTCCTGTAGACACATTTTTCATAAATGTGGAAATAAAGAAGTTGAAGCATAGATTTGAATCATAGAGTTATTTCTTCTCTCCAATCCAAGTTCTTTATATTGATCCACATTGTATAAAGTCAAGGTGGATCTCAGATCTAGTTTTAACGGACCACGGATAAAGGTAAAAGACATTCTCAGGTAGCAAAAAAAGGAGGTTAAAATACATCTGCAACCTTCTTTTTTCCTCTTAACAATAATCCCAGAACTGATTCTCTCTAAAGACAATTGATCCTAAAGATGCCTTTTTGGAAACTTTGGTAAAATTTTCTTTACAATTATCTGAAATGAGATATTTATGCATTTTTGACCAAAGTAGTCTAAGAAATTGATTGGACATCTTTCAATTTTTCCCCAAATTGTTTCTTATTAATAAAATTAATTTACCATAGACCAAATGAGATTGTTAGGCTATTGAAGCATGAGGTATATGGCATAGCCGATAATTTAAGAAAGTTTCTCTTTATTACTTTATGAAGAGGGAGGGGAAAAATATGAGAGGAGAAGTCACTTATGCATTGGAGTTTATAATTTTTCTTTTTCAGCAAAATGAGCTATTACATTTTTAGAATTATTACAGATAATATGCACAAAAGAAAACTAGAAAATATGCAAAATAGCCAAACAAAGGAGAGAAGACAATTGGGTGGAATGTGCTTTTGATTATAATAAATGAGGGGAAAAAAGAGAGAACTCCAACTTTTTCACTGTCTATGATAACTAAGTGAATACACATATAAATGAAAAATCAGGAAGACTATCAAAGGCTAAGACTTCATTTGTATTAAGGTGCAGAGATTATGTGTAATTTTTTCTCTTTGATACTATCCACTTTTGCTGTGATGTAGTTGTTATTTTCCATTTGCTCTAGATGCAGCTGAAGTCCCTTCAACTCTAACCTAACCTTTAACCCTAACCCTAACCCTAACACTAGTCCCCTTCAACTGCATCTATAGCAAATGGAACTACCTCATACCAAATGTGGACAGTACAGAGCAGAAAGAATTATTAATTCACTCCATAATTCCATTTCCCTTTCTCTCTTTGCAGAGGCAACTCCAATCGTGAATTTGTGAGTGTATCCATTTAGTATATTCTCAGGTTTGAGCTATAAACTCATATATCTGTTAAGGATATAGTTTTTAAATTTTTGTATAAATGACACCTTATGTTATCCTTCTGCAACTTTTTTTTTTACAAAGCTGTGTTTTCATATTCTATCTATGTTGATGTATACGTCATTTGTTCATCATAATTACTGTATGGTATTTCATCATATGAACACATCCCAATTTGTTTCTGCATTTTGTCACTAAGGGACATGCAGATTGTTGTAAATTTTTACCATTTCAAATAATGCTTCAGTAATCATTCTCCTATATTTGTAGGTAAATATAAGCAAGTTTCTCAAAGCTATTTACTTAGAGGTAGAATTGCTAAACAATTCTAAATAATCAACTTCAGTGTTACTAGATATTGAAAAATTATTCTCCAAAATGGGTTGTGACAATTCATATACTCAAAGCAGTTTAAAGATTTCCTGTTTCTCCATGTTCTTACCAAATAAGGTATTATTTTCAAACTGGGATTCTAGCTAATCTGATGAATGTGAACCAAATTTTCATTATGTCGATTTCCATTTCCCTGTTCACTATGAGGTTAGGAGTTTACGTTTATAAGCTATTCAGTTTAACTCTTCTGTGACGACTGGCATATACTTTTGTCCAGTTTTCTATGGGTTTGTCTTTTTCTTATTGCCAAAGTTCCTGATAGAGTCTAAATATTGTTTGTTACACTTTACTATTAAGTATGTTATTTGTGGAGGGTAACCTAGTAAAGAAAATTTATCTCCCTGGAATGCTTTTTGGCATATTAAAATAACTTTTTTCACTTTTATTGAAACAATGTGATTAATTACAATGATATATTTTCTGATATTAAGCCATCCTTGAAGTCTTGGAATAAATTTTAGTTATTATTGAGTTATTTTTAATACTGATTAATTCATTTTTCAGTATTTAGTGAATTTGGGTTAAAATCTCTGAAGTGAGATTGGGCTATATTTTCTCTTATTCTTTGATCATTTTGTGGTCTTCATACTAAAATTGTATTATCTTCTTAAAATGAGTAGCGTAGCTTTTCCTCTTTTTCTATCCTCTAAAACAGTTCATTAAAACTTGTCTATAAAACTTTGGTAGAGAACAAGAAGAGAGGTGAGTTAGGGTGGAGGTAGGTACAGGGAAGAGTGTACCTTTTATCGGTGCACTACCGATAAAAGTTCTTTAATGATTTATTGGCCTATTAGTTTTTGTGTTTCTTTCTCAGTTGGTATGGCAATTTTCTACTTCCCTATAAATTTGCTAATTTTCTCTAAATTTTTAAAGTTACTGGTAGAGAGCTGATCATAACACTGTCTTAGATTTCTGAAAGCCTAAAACTATCTCTAGTTTTGTTTCTTTTCTTATCTCTAATTTGTGTCGGTGTATACATTCACTCGTGTGAATCCTTTCTCATTTTCTTCATCAGTCACACTAAAGTTGGTCTAATATTAATATACGTGCTTCAGTTTTCTTTGGTACTATTTGGTTTGTATGTCTTTTTGATTTTTGACTTGTCTGCTGCTTTTTTTTTTTTTTTTTTGAGACAAAGTCTCGCTCTGTCCCCCAGGCTGGAGTGCAGTGGCGCGAGCTTGGCTCACTGCAAGCTCTGCCTCCCGGGTTGACGCCATTCTCCTGCCTCAGCCTCTTGAGTAGCTGGGACTACAGGCACCCACCACCACGCCCGGCTAATTTTTTCTTTGTATTTTTTAGTAGAGACGGGGTTTAACGGTGTTAGGCAGGATGGTCTCCATCTCCTGATCTCATGATCCGCCCGCCTCGGCCTCCCAAAGTGTTGGGATTACAGGCGTGAGCCACCACGCCCGGCCAATATATCAATTCAGATACATGTACTCAGATATATATCAATTCAGATACATGTACTCAGATATATATCAATTCAGATACTCTTTATTTTAGTGGGATAGCTTAATTCACGTGCATTTATTGCAATCCTTGACCTATTTGGACTTTTCCCAATTAAGATTTACTATGCAATTTCTATAATTGCATTTTTTCTTTCCTTCTCTTTTTAAAAAATTTAAGCTTTCTCATTGCATATTTCCCTTCTACCAGTTTAGAAGTTAAATATTCTATTTCTATTATTTTTAGTAGTTACAATTAGATTTTGACATCTATAATTTACAAAGTCTAATGTTAATCAACATCTCTATCCTCGTAAATAATGCAAAGACTTGAGAATAATTTTCATAGCCCTCTTCCACTGCTTTCCATATTATTATGGAAAATAATAGTCTTAGCTATTTTAATTTGAATATTGACTCCTTTTCATCATTCTCTTTCTTCTTTCTTCTTATAATCCTTAATATATGTATGTTGTACTTTCTCATTCTATCCTCCCTATCTCTTCTTATTAAATCTTTTCTGTCTCTTTATCTCTCTATGCTACATTCTGGATAATGTCGTCATATCTAAATAATTCACCAATTCTAGGCCAGTGCTCATGACTGTAATCCTAGTACTTTTGGGAGGCCAAGGCAGGTGGATCACTTGAGCCCAGGAGTTCGAAACCAGCCTGGGAATATGGTTAGGCTTCCTTTCTACAAAAACACAAAAAAATTATCTGGGTGTGGTGGCACACACCTGTAGTCCCAGCTACTCAGGAGGCTGAGGGTGCAGATTGCTTGAGCCTGGGAGATTGAGGCCAGAGTGAGCTGATATTGCGCCACTGCACTCCAGCCTGGGTGACAGGGTGAGACCCTGTCTCAACAAACGTATAATAATAATAGTAATAATAATAGTTCACCAATTCCTCCTGCTGTGGCATCTAGTCTACTTTTCAGCTTCTACACTAAATTTTTTATCTTAAGAACTATATTTTATGATCTCTATAACTCCTTTCTCCAAATCTATAGGACATTCATTTCCCTCAGTCTCTTGTTTTTACCTAATGGCTTTTATTCTTCACTTTATTTCTTTGAATACTAAAAACACATGTCTTTTAAATTAACGTTCATGTTATTCTATTATTTAGGTCCCTCATTAGTTATACCTTCTGACTATCTTACTGTAGCTCATCTCCTTGTATGATTTTCAGTTTTCACTATCAGCTTGTTCTGAGTGGGAATTTGTTTTCTTTGGAAACTACAGGTGCCATGGATTGTGGAAGCATCTTTACAGAATAATTTCAGATTTGCCTTTACAAGAGGGATTTGAATTTCAAGCATCAGTTTTGGCTTTGTGTCTCTGAAATGGACAGATGGTTTATTAAACCCCACCTCTGTATTTGGTGCTGGGTTTTCAAGTTTCTGATTTCTCACTGGTGACTCTTTCAGTTCCTGTGGCCATAGTCAGATAGCAAACTTCCAAGCTCATTCTCTGGGAGACTGGACAGATATGTTTAGTACTTGTTTTACAGACAGAACAGCATATTGTAACTCTGGACTGGATGCTGATAGCTCCATTTCAGCTTCCCATTCAGATGAGGCTTATGGTTCAGACTTACCTTCTGACTCAGACATTAAATCCCCAGCTACCCAGTCATTAAGATTTCTCTTTATCTGGTCTCAATTTCCCTTTGTGTCCCTTGACTGCAGTTCTCACTTGCATCTTTAATTGTGAGTTTCCTCTGTATGTCTGGCACCTGGGGATTTTGCTTTATTGATTTCTATCTGTATAATCTTTATACAAGTCTTTACAATGCTATATTTCATCTAGAATTCTTATGCATTTGGAGTAGGGGTGGTGTGCCTCCCATATATGCTTAGGTCACTATATTGGCCAGACATACTTATATTATTTCTGTAATGAGGAAAAAATACAAAAAGCTTTCAAAATGTGTTTTAAAAAATGTTACATTTTAAGTAACCTTTTTTTCTCCAGGCTTTTCAATGCAGAATTTGAAGAACCACATAATTATGAGGCAACAATTTCATATCTGAGACACTCTGGCAACTCCATTAACCTGTGCACTGCAAAAGAAATTGCTGATCGTAAGTCTGCTAAGTCAATTAATAGTGTAACCCCGTGTGGAATGAAAATGTGTCAAAAATGATATTTTCCCTTTAGCTAACTGTAAGTTTAAAAATGCACAGCCATCCTGCACTACCATCTTATTTCTTTTTCTTTTTTTTCTGTGTCTGGTCTCTTAAAAATATAAATAAATTCAGCTGGGCATCAGTGCTATCTCACGAAAGCTATTGCTGCCTTCCCAGCCTCTTCTTTTCTCCCCTTTACCAATCAACTCAGCTGCTTTGCCTTTTGTAGATATGAGGGAGGGAAAATCAAGATATGACGATTCATTTTTCTTCTTTCTCTTCCTATGGAAACTTCATCTCTTTTCTCCTGGTGTCTTTCTTGAAGTTCCCTGGTTACTCGGTGTGTGGAGAACGAGATAACAGACCATAAGAGTTAGGCCCCTGTGTTCAGTCTGAATAGGATCAGGGGATTTATTTAATGGATCTGACCACTGGCTCAGAGCTAAGTCTTACTGCCTTTGGCATTGCTGACAATGCTCGGGACTTTTCTTGTGCGTTAAGAGACCTTCTCAGGTAAAAAGATGAGGGAGCAGAGATTCATAGCATTTCTACAAGTTGCAACATCTTTGTTTGCCTATAGTATCAGCCAGTTCTCTATAAAAGCATACATTTTAGTGCTGGAATAAACACTAGTATTTAGTGAGCTTGTACTATAGGATACTGTAGTTCCATGTTAGGCTCCCTGTGTACAGCCCTGCTGATAGAGTGGTTTGATCAACCCTAATGTTTGATACAGGAAACTGAACATTGGAAAGATTGAGTTGCATGAGGTCATAAATATACCATGGAATAGGGTTATAATATGAAACAGGCTCAGGCTACCTCTAAAGTCTATGCTTTTCCACAAGTTTATGCTACTTCTTATTCAAGGAAGTTTGGCTTCCCTGGAAGCAGGGCTAAAAAGAGATCATCCGGTATAACTTCTTCATTGTATGGACCAGAACCCCAAGGTTCTAGGAAAGGAAGTCATTTTCCTGGGAATACATACTTAGGAAGTTCATGTGGTAAGGATCAGGACCTATTGAAATTCCCCTCTTCTCCCTCAAGAAATAAGGGGTTGGAGAACTATTAGAAAAACTGCCTCTCTTTTAGACTGGGCAGTCTAGGTTCTCCTAAATGGCTTGTAAAATACTAGCCATAGGAAGAGCAAGTCTTGACCCCGCCCAGCACTCCCAAAAGGCAGTGCTGCCCCATACTCAGAGTATATGGGCCCCTTCTTTAGAGCAGGGCTTCTCAGATTCTTGCGTTCATACAAGTCGCACAGGGATCTTGTTAAAATGTAGATTCTGGTTCAGCAGCTCCTCCAGTGTGGGATCTGAGATTCTGTATTTCTAACAAGTTCCTTGGTGATACCAATGCTGCTGGTCTATAGACCACACTTTGAAAACAAAATCTGTGGGCACCATTTGGGCCACATTCCAACTATATGCCCTTCTACAAGGCTAAGAATTCACAGAGCCAACGGGATGCTCCAATCAGAACCTGCTCCTTCTCTCTCTGGACCATGTGACACCCCTAGAATCCACCCCCCTGCAAGTAGCTCATTTCAAGTGAAGTGGACCTCTGTTTCTGGGAAGATGGAACAGGTGTACTTTTTTGCTAATGCTCCTGCAAAGTACAGCTAAAAGCCCCAGGCGTTATGTATGTAAAACAAGCATAAGAAGACTAGATGACTCTGAAAGGTAGAGAGAAGAAGGTAGATCAGTTAGGGACATCAGGCCGCAAGGAAGGATAAGGTGGTGAGTTCCCTGATTTTCTTCTTGCCTCGTATGTGTCAGTTTTGGAGGTAAAAAAGTTAGCAACCCAGAAACACCAGTGGGCACAACAGCTTCAGCTGAAGCCTTCTCTTTCTAGCCAAATGACCAGGAAAAGGGCAACTTAGAAAGACAGAAAACCTCTAGACAATAGCTGGTCTACTCCAGCCAAACATCATAGAAAAAAATGGGGCCCACCACCAACAGCAATGCTGAATGGGGGGCCTGGACATCTACCCTCAGCAGGCTGCAATGATGCACCCAACTCCTCCACTGGAGTGATGTCAGAGAAGGCCAGGTAGGGAGCTGGGATTTCCACCCCTGCCAGGTGGAAATAAAATTCCACTTAGTGTCCATAAAGATTATGTGGGGAACTTTGACTTTCACTCTCCTTCCAGAAGTAACAAGATGTCCTTCTCTCTACCTCAAAGGATGGTGTCAGGGGAGAGCTAGTAGAAAGGATCTTCATAACCACCCAGCAGTAAAAAGGCCACCCTCTCCTTATTGCTGTCGGCGAAGGTCATACGGGAAGCAATAACAGGGCACTCTACTCTTTCCAGCTAAGATGTTATCAGCAGAAGCCTGCTGGAGAGCCAAACTCCTTCCTACTCCTGCCCAGCAGTGATGAGGTGCTCTTTTCTCACTTGGGTATTATTACAAACTGATTGCTTGTTACTCTCTAAAATGTTGGAAACCTACCCCCTAATGCAATGGTATTTAGGAGGTGAGCTCTTTCGGAGGTAGTTAGTATTACATGAGGTCATGAGGGTGGAGCCCTCACGAATGGGATTAGTGTCTTTACAAGCATTCCAAAAGAAATTGCTTTTTTCTTCTCCTTATGAGGGCACAGCAAGAAGACGGCTCTCTATGAACCAGGCAGCAGGCCTTCACCAGAATTGAATCTGTTGTCACTTTGATCTCAGAACTTCCCACTCCAGAACTATGAGGAATAAATTTCTGTTATTTATTAGCCATGCAATTTGTGGTATTTTGTTATGGCAGCTGAATCTGAAAAAAAAAAAATGCCTGCCAAAATTGAGATGGCTGAAATACTAGAATTTTCTGACTAAGACTTTAAAGCAGCTTTTATAAAATTTTCCAATGCATAGTTATGGACATGCTTGAAATAAATGAAGCAAAGTCTTATCAAAGAAATAAAATGTTTTTATAGAGAAATAGAAATGTAAAAAAAATGACAATGTTAGAACTGAAAAATAAAAAGGTCAGTGGATGTGCTCAACAGCAGAATGGAGGGACAAAAGAGTCAATGACTTAAAAATAAACAATAGTAACTACCGAATCTGAACAAGGAGAAAATAGACTGAAACAAAAAATGAAAAGAGCTTCAAAAAACTTGTGAGACTATAACAAAAGATTTAACATTCATGTCATTAGACATGAAAGAGAAGAGAAGGAGTGCATGACTGAAGAAGTACTTGGAGAAATAGTGACTGAAAACTCCCCCAATTTGGCAAAAGACATAATGTGGGTCAGGAGCGGTGGCTCACACCTGTCATCCCAACACTCTGGAAGGCTGAGGCAAGTGGATCACCTAAGGTCAGGAGTTCAAGACCAACCTGGCCAACATGGTGAAACCTCATCTCTACTAAAAATACAAAAAATTAGCTGGGTGTGGCAGTGGACATCTGTAATTTCAGCTATTCGGGAGGCTGAGGCAGGAGAACCTCTTGAACCCAGGAGGTGGAGGTGGCAGTGAGCCGAGATCGTGCCATTGCACTCCATCCTGGGCAATAAGAGCAAAACTCTATCTAAAAAAATAAAATAAAATAATAATAATAATATGACAACAGATTCAAGAAACCGAGCAAATCTAAAACAAATGCAATCTCACGAAGAATCATAATCAAACTTCTTAAAGACAGAGAAAAATTCTTGAAAGCAAGTAGCAGGAAGGAAACAATAAGGATAAGATTAGAAGTAAATGAAATGAAATGAAAACAAAAAACAATAGAGAAAATCAATGGAACCAAAAATGTGTTCTTTGAAAAAACAATCAGTAAAATTGACAAACTTCTAGCAAGGTTGAAAAAATTCATAAACTTCTAGCAAGGCTGAAAAAGAAACAGAAAGAAGATATAATATTAAGAATGAAACAGGGATATCATTATAGACCCTGTAGATATCAAAACAATAATAAGGGAATATTATAAACAACTCTCCACATATAAACTTAACAACTTAGATTAAAAAAAAAGGAACAATTCCTCAAAAAGCACAAATTACCACAACTCACCCAAAATAATTTGAATATCCCTGTAACTCTTAAGAAAACTGAATGCATAGTTTAAAAACTCTCCCAAAATGAACTCTAAGTCAGGTGATTTCACTGAAAAATTCTATTAGGCATTTAAAGATGAATTAATACCAATTTTATACAATCTTTCCCAAAAATGGAGGAGAAAACACATTTTGTTTTTTTAAAGTTAGTATTACCATGATCTCAAAACCAGACAAAGTCAGTACAAAAGAAGAAAACTTCAGATCAATATCCTTAATTAGTATGGTCATGAAAATCCTCGACAAAATATTAGCAAATAGAATTCAGCAACATAGAAAATTAATTATTCTTCATGATCAAGTGTGGTTTATTCTTCATTTGGTAATGGTATATAAGAGTGCAGAGATGCAAAGCTGGTTCAATATTCAAAAATCAACAAAATCACCATGTTGGCAGGATAAAGAAGAAAAATCAGACAATCTGTGCAGAAAATAATTTAACAAAATTCAACCCCCATTTATGATTTTTAAAAACTGTCATAAAAATAGGAATAGATGGGGACTCTATTGTCTTCCTCAACTTGATAAAGAACATTTACAGGAAGCCTATAGCTAATCATGATTCTTAATGGTGAAACACTGATTGCTTTACTCCTACTACCAGTAACAAGGCAAGAATGTCTGCTGTTACCATTGCTATTGGGACTTTTCCAAGGTCATACAGATAGGATGAGGAGAAGGAACAAAAGGCCTCCAAGACATGACCATGTGTTATGACACTAGCAGTTGGAGGGCTGCTGAGAACCATCTTCAGATATTAGTCCTTTCTCTGCCCCCACAATAAAACTAGTCAGTGGAGAGAGGGTTATGTATGTCTGTGCCGAAAGTGAGCGAGGACTCCCATGCTGTAGATCATATGCTCTTGTCATAATTCTTAGTCCGTTCCTGACTCTTTGAGATGTAGCCCTTTATCCTCTATACTCCTAACTTGGAATATATGTTGGAATTCCTACCTAAGTTTGGATAGCTTAGCTTACCAGGAAAGAACCTCCACTTTGTTAAACAGCAGTAACGACATTTTGAACACATTATTAATTGAATGTGTATTATCTTTGTTTACTAGCCATGGCAAATAAGGCTTCTCCAGGCTTTGGTTTCATCATTTCTAAGACAGAAGAAGTAATAATATCCATCCCAAGAAAGCAAAGAGCTCATGATTTGTTTTTGAAAAGCATAGACAAGTAAATAAATTGGAGTAGAAAGAAGGAGATTATTATTCTTAAAATTGGAAAGCAAATTCATATCAGGAATGGATATTGGGCAAGCTGTATCACAAACAGGTATTTTTAAAGTATTAAGTGTAAAATTACCTAATTTTATGTGTACAATTATGTGTACAAGTATTATGTGTACAATTACTCAAGTTGAAATACATATTATTAATTAATCATGTAGAATTTTAGGTCTGTGTCAACAGTTGTATGCTGATAGTCCCTAAAGAAAACCTAGCATTTCATTGATTTTATCAGTAGATTATATGTTTAGAATAATAAAAGCTTGGAACTGCAACATGTTGTTTGGTCAGTTTTCTAAAGCTTCAAGACTTTAGCAGCAAGAAAGAGAAAAGCAGAGGGAGAAGTCCTACTTTTATGCACATATGTTTACTAACAGTAGGGAGAAAACTTTTATAAATAACTTTTAAGCATCAAAAAATTTGCCATTTTCTATACAATATCCAGTGTTCCGCTAGGTATATTAAATTTCTTTTCTTTTTCTTTTTTTTTTTTTTTTTTGTGATGGAGTCTCACTCTGTTGCCCAGGCTGGAATACAGTGGCATGATCTCGGTTCACTGCAACCTCTGCCTCCCGGGTTAAAGCGATTCTCCTGCCTCAGCCTCCCGAGTAGCTAGGATTACAGGCCTGCCACTGTGCCTGAATAATTTTTGTATTTTCAGTAGAGATGGTGTTTCACTATCTTGACCAGGCTGGTGTTGAACTCCTGACCTTGTAATCCACCTGCCTCAGCCTCCCAAAGTGCTGGGATTACAGGCATGAGCCACCGCACCTGGCCAAATTTCTTACATTATTTCCTTGAATCTCCCCATTAACTCTGTAAGGCAGGTACCAATTGGTCCATTTTTATAGATGAGCAAGCTGAGGCTCAAAGAAATGAAGTAATTTGTTTGAAATACCCTATGTAGGAGTGGCAGAACTGTGTTTGAACTGAAATTCTTATCACTACTTGTATATATTAATACAGTCATGTGCTATACAATGTTTCAGTTAACAATGAATTGCGTATCCAGCAGTGGTCCCATAAGATGACAATACTGTATTTTTACTGTACCTTTTCTATGTTTAGATACACAACTATTTATAATTGTGTTACAATTGCCTGCAGTATTCAGTACAGTAACATGCTATGCAGGTTTGTTGCCTGGGAGCAATAGGCCATACCCTATATCTTAGGAAGATAGCAGGCTATATCATCTAGGTTTGTGTAAGTATGTTCTATGATATTCACATGATGATGAAATCACCTAAGGATGCATTTCTCAGAACAGATCCGCACTGTTAAGTGATGCATGACTGTAATTAAGATTGGCGTCATGTCATTAAATAAAATCCACATAACTATTGGAAAAATCAAAAGGTGGGTCAGCCTTAGTTGATGTGTTTTCAAACTGTATTTAAGGAAATGAAAAAGGCTGTGGAACAGAGCACTTTGGGGCAAGATAGAAAATTAATTTTGTTGAAGTGGGATTTAGGCTTTTTCCTTTCCCTTTCCTTTCACGTTTGCCTTCTGAGCTGCCACTAGATTTTAGTGCTTTCTTCTAAGCATGGAGTATGTGTCTGTTTGCCAAAACAGGAAACTGAAATGGTTTCACATGCTTCATCGACTGTAAATTCCATTCTGGAAATCCCCACAGAAATTAAAACCATGATCACTGATCCCATAATTTCCCAAACTTTGTAGATAGAGCTTTACACAGTCTGATGTTCTTAAAGGTGAGAAAACCAAACTCTGGAATCTTTCATAACTACTTTAATCCTGGATACTATAAGAAATGGGTGGATGAACTGCCTTGAAATAATTTTTTTATGTTTATTTTAGCAACATATGAAGTTGGAATTGAAGAACTCCAAAAGGTATTGTTTCTCCTTACCAACATTATAACTAAAAGTAAAATAAGCATGCAAGGTTGATTCTAAAGTAGTATCTTTTAGAGGGAAGGAATGTCTTTGTTTTCACTTTTACTCCTATTTCTGAGGTTTTTCCAGACTTCAGCCTCTAAAAGTCTGCACTTTGAGCCCTGTTACTGTCAGAGACAAAAATGTGTGATAGGATGGGAGGACATGGTCCCAATTCATCCATAGCCCTTTTCTGTGGTGGGCAGTGACAACTAGCTTTTAATAACTGTGACTTCCAGCGAGAAGAGTTCTGAGTTCTATGGCACAATCCAGGTTTGTATATCCTGGCTTTCAGATATGCTTTCTGGGCTCCTGCTAGACTTGGTGCCAGGTGCCACCTGGAGGCAGCATAGCAACCTGAGTAGGGCCCAAGCAGAATCACTGCTGGCCTCAATCCCAACTCCTGGCTATGTGATGTTGAATGTCCATTTCCTCACCTGCAAAATGGGAATAATAAAGCACTCACATCTGAGGTCCTTGTGAGAATGAAAATAAGATAAATGAAGGTAAACAGCTTATTAGTAAGTGCTTGAAACAGAGCATTTCACCTCTCTGAGACTCAGATGTGTCCTCTATAAAATGGTGAATTATTGGCTAGGCATAGTGGCTCATGCCTATAAGTCTAGCACTTTGGGAGGCCAAGACAGACAGATCACTTGAGCCCAGGAGTTCAAGACCAGCCTGGGCAACATGGTGAAACACTGTCCCTACAAAAAAAAATACAAAAATTAGCCAGGCGTGGTGGTATATGCCTGTAGTCCCAGCTACTCGGGAGACTGAGGCAGGAGGACTGTTTGAGCCCAGGAGGTGGAGGTTGCAGCGAGCCGATACTGTACCACTATACTTTAACCTGGGCAGTGGACAGACTGAGAGCTTGTATCAAAAATGAGAAAAAGAAAGAAAGAAAGAAAGAAGGAAGGAAAGGAAGGAAAGGAAGGGAAGGAAAGGATGGGAGGAAAGGAAGGAAAGGAAGGAAAGGGAAGAAGGAAAGAAAAGGTGTATTTTCCGTGAGGACAGGAAGCATATGTCTTGTGGTTACTGTATCTGCAGTAGTAGATGCTCAGTAAATAAAGGGACCAATACTTGTTTCACTGAATGTCTGGGAGAAGTAAGGCAAACACAGTATGTAAGCACTGTGTAAGCCCATAGAAGGCCCTTACCTAGTGTTTTAATAGGATCAGTTAAGTTTCTAATCTTTTCTTACTGGGTACATTTAGTCTAGATCCTTCATCTCTCTGTTTCAGTTTTCTTGTGCTTGCTGGTAAGGATTATTCATTTGTGGATACACTTCGTCACTAGAAAAATATGAATGATTATTATTTCTATCAATGGGAGTAGAAATAGCCTATTAAAATGCTTCATGTGCCTGGCAACACCAACAAATAATAAACTATTCTACACAAGTGAACTCGCCAAGTAAATTAATTTTATCCCATTTTATCCCAATTTTATGTTTTAAGTAAAACATAAAATTATGTTTAATTTTTCAATCTTTTAACTCTCATACATGTTTTGTGTTTATATCTGTATTTTTAAGCTCAGTGAGTGGAATCTGATCTCTTCCTTTCTTAATGACTTGGAGTATTCTTGACTATAAGGGACTGAGTCGACATAGTTTATGCTCTTCTTTTGAGATGCTCTTGAGCCTTTGCAGAACTAGTTCCCTTCACACCAAACTACCACAAGTCAGTTTTCTGAATTCTTTCCCCTTTTTTTCCTACTGTCAATATTTTTGTGTCTAGCAATGAGTTTTTCATCTGGTCAAACATGTACCAAGTCCCTCTAGTGTGATAGCACTTGTGCATAGACAGTAGCGCTTAACCCTCATAGTTAAGAGCTGATATCACTGCTTCCATATTACAGATGACAACATTAAGGCTCAGAGAAGTTTAGTAAGCTGTAAATCATGTAACAAAGATATAAAAACAAGGCCTGTCTGACTTGTCAATCTGCCACTGCTGCATCTAATTTGTTGGAATTATGTGTAAAATAAGGACCAATAGTCTCTGAATAATGGTCTGCAGGGCTGCCCTCAAAGGAGAGCATAATGAGCTAGGATACCTGGATTTTGTGATGGCATTTTAGACGCTTAGATATTTTCTATTCTTTTCAGCGTTCTTAGACAGATTCCAAATAACGAATGGGACCAGATCTATAACCACGGAATAAATGAGGGGCTACATTGTGATCATTGGGGCATAATTTTAATGGAGCCAAACATAGGTCCTGCAAGATTTGAGCGGTGATCACAGGGCACGTGATCAGTGAGTAAGGGAGAAATTCCAGCATTACTTGTGCACTTGTGAATGCCAATCTACCCACTAAAATATTGCTTAAATCCCACAAATTCATATTTTATCATGGGATTTAGAAGTTATTTATGTTTCAGATGCATTTCTGGAAAGGCGTGCAGACAACAATTTTTCTGAGTCACATCATACATTCCTTTGGGCATGCCCTGTAACGTCAGAAATGCTTGTTTTCATTTCTGATTGATCTTCAGCCCCACTGCAACAGTTCCTGGGACTTTCTGTGGTCAGTGTCTGCCTTTGCTCTCTACTGAGGCTTCATCCCCCTCACCTTTTGGTGTAGTCTCTAATGATCTGTAACCAAATAACAGAGCCTGATTCGGGTTGATTTATGGAAATAACCACTTTCCTCTTTACTTTCAGTCTTGGAAGAATTTTCCCTATCCAGAACCTAGGTGAGTTTTATCTTCAAACAGAAAAGCATCTGTCCAACTACTGACTTTCTGATGACTGAACTAGTTTTCCTCTATGGGCCAGCTATGTTTCCAAACTGAACTAGCCTGGTTCAGTTTCCCCAGCACCTTGCAAGGTACCTAGTACAGAGGAAGTGATTGGTGATCCTGCCTCACCTCCCTCTCTCATCTTGTTCTAGCCCATGCTGTACTCAGCAAACATTTACTGAGTATCCAGCCTGTGCCAGATATGTGCTCACCACTGGGGCTGTAGCAGTGATGGAGACCTCGCTATTGCTTTCAGGATCTCTTGAATTAGTGGGAGAGTCACACAATCAAACAGGCAAATAACAATAACATGAATTCCAAAGAACTGACAGTTTCTGAAGTGCACCATGCTGTTTGAAGTCTCTTTGCCTTTGCTCTTTTAAGCCGTCGATTCACCCCAATTTAACAATCTGGCAAACTTCTACTAATCCATCAAGCACCCCTTGTGTATGAACCCTTTCTTCATTCCACTCCCTCAGAGAGAAGTAACCAGTCCCTTGCCTGTGGTACCACTGTAAGTTCTGTTTGCACAGTATGTTTGCACAAATGGCACTGTATGTAGTTTGCTAACATGCCAATTCATCCTCCCCTTCCTACTCCCCTTCTTGTTTGGGAGCTCCTTGTATTCAGGGCCAATGTCTTAATGTTCTTGGTGTTCCTGATACCTCTCACACTCCTTGGGTCCAGAGGAATGCCCTGGCACATAGTAGCGCTCTTACCTGCCTCTTCAGAGTCTGTTTCTAGGCCTTCTCCCTGGAGTTATTCTAATATATTTTAAAAAGCATGGTTGATGAGCTCTGGAGAAGCAAATATCAAAATTTCCTGATTGAGTCTGAAAACATTTGCTGAATCATGGAGAAAACCTGCTTTAGTTGAATGGGCTACCTTCCTCTCTCTCCCTGAGTTCCTACCTGTCCCTAAACTTACGACACTAACACAGTGCTGGGCACATGGTAGGCACAGGTCAAATGATTAATTATTTAGTTCAATATTTATTGAGCTTTTACTCTTCAGACACTGCTAGATTCTGAGGTACAAAACTGAATAGAATATATTTTCTACCCTTGATCCAAGGTGGGAGGGGAAGCCAGAGTAGTTGGGAGTGAGGGGTTACTTGGAGGGTTAAATGACCAAATAAATAGGAAATCACAATAAAATATTATCACTCCTTTGGAAGTTTAACAACACAGAAGTGAGGCACGAAAACCAGCTATTCCTACACAGCATTAACACTGGAGTTACACATGTGAATAAGATAGTTCTGCCTTGATTTTTAGTGGTTGACAAGGCAAAGTGGAGGGACTGGAGATAGATCCATAGATAGACGTACTATAAGACAATATAGAAGAACAAAGTGTTAGAAGAGTAGAGAAGGTATGACTGCTTGGGAGAATCAGGGAAGCATTCTCAGAGATAAGATGATTTAGCTATATCATGAAGGGCATTGTATTTACCAGTATAAGATGTGGAAGGCATGTCTAAAGAAAAATAATAAAAAGGAAGAGTTGCTCAAATAGGGTGGTGGGTTTGAGGAATTACGAGAGTCTAGACTCAAGCAAAAGTGGAGGTAAAAGGCAGCATGTGATGAGTTTGGAAAGAAAGGTAGGAGCCAGATCACGATGAAACTTAAGTTTTATCTTATAGGCAATAGGGAGTTAGAAGATTTTAAGCAGGAATTAACACTCTGGCATTAATTGGAACAGGCAGAAACTCAAGGAAACTACGTATATAATTGATCTGATCCTAGACTCCTCATCTAAGAGAAATGATTCATATTTGCTTAAATCAATTTTTCCCATTCATTTCATTTAGGATTGGACAGTACACTATCATTTAAATGCTCTAAGCTTCATTTTTTTTTTCCTGGTGTCTCTTCACATTTCAGTGCTAAACATGAAGATAAAAAAATGAAGGAAAAAGACCCATGTGAATTGGAACCTAAGAACACAGAAAAGGAACCACATTCAAACCATGTTTTCAAGGTACCTATGTTCTACGGTTCCTGCAATGTAGACATATAACAGATCAGTTCATGGGGGTGACTTTATAGGGCCTGAGAGACAGAGCTCTTCAGAGAGACAGAGTTAGAAAATGCAATGGGCATTTGATATTGTATCAAGGAAATAAATGTAACAATGACACTAAGCTCTAGCCCTTAATTTTCTACTTTTTAGCCATGAAGCAGGCCTTAGAGGCAGGGGCTGGGACTAGATTAAGTCCAACAAGAAATCCAGGGTGCAAACTACAAGGCAGTATCCACTCTCAGGTGCCGTCCCTGCCCTTGTACTACCCTGGAGTGAGAGTTTCCTTAAATGCTGTGCCCTAAGACTCTGCTTAAAGAGTGACTTGTCTCTGAGCTTGGTTACCTCATCTGTAAAGTGAAAATAAATGATTTCTACCCAACTACCATCCCCATTCCCATGCCAATTCTACCTTGTTTGTGGTGATAAAATAATGTGCAAGAAAGTGTTTCATACGCCATAAGCTACCACAAAAATGAAATGTATTCTTGTTGCTTTCATTAATACTAAATATGATGAATGTGTGTATATCCATATCTAATTGACCCCATCCCCTTCAAAGCAGTTGGGTGGCAGGAGGCTTAAACAGTAGATACCACCAGGGCAATTGCCAGTGCTCACTTTAGATACCTCTTTGAGATGTGCCTATCTTTTAATACGCAGTTGTCCCAGTGCCATCTGCAGAGCTAGGGTAAATCAAACAGCATGTTGGCTGTATGAGCCTGAACTGGCGTGTAGGTCCAGAGGCTGGGCTGGACCATGTTGGGTGTTCACAGAGCATCAGAAAGCAGCATAATTCAAAGGATGGTGTAAGTTGCTAATTGGGAACAACAAGGTCCAGAGCCAGGGGAGCAGCACTGGGTGTAAAGGCCAAGCCATCAATGGCTGTCAAGTTAGAGATCAGGAATGGTTTGATCAGGAGCATATGAGAGGGCAGGAGAGATACATGACTAAGGATATTAACCATGAAAAATCTTAGGCTCTGCTCTTTTTCAATGCTGGCTATGTGGCGTAAACCAGATATGGGCTCAAACTACTAACAAAGGGTCACTTCCTTCTTTCATAGAGTGTGTTTGGGTTTCAGAAATTGTTAAATGTTATTTAGAATATGTTAGGTGAATGAGGGGACTGCCTTCATTATGACAGTACACTGAAGGACGGTGGTCACTATATTTGTGCAAAATATTGACTTCATTACTTTCTTGTCACTTTTCTCCATTTATACATTTAATTCTTGGTACCATGACTTAAAAGAATGCCCCTCCTCTTATTCTTCTGTGAGTTTCCCCGAGATCCCACCCAAAACTCAGGATAATCCGCTCCTTATATCTACTAATTACATTAGCCTTTCCCAAGTACTTTCAAATGTATTATCATAGTCAATCCTCATGTCTATTCTGTTGTAGTCAGAAGGACAATAACCTTTCTCTCATTTTCATTGGACAATTATAAAACACTTAGATGGCCAAAAATACTCTAATTTTCTCTCTCTCCATGATCTCTTCCTGTCAGTCTATGCAGAACGTTCCGAAATGTAAATGTGATCAGGGTTTTCCCCTGCCTAATCCTAATGGCTAAGAAATAAAGCCCAAACTCTTTGCTTTGCACGCAGGACCCTTCGTAAGTCAGTCCCATGCTCATTTACCTTTTCAACCGCATCTCTAGGCTGTTTTTCCTTATCTTTTTCCTTAAACTCTTACCTTAGCAGCAGCCTCCTTCCTACCCTTATAAGGACATGAATACTTCCCCAAATCCCCTGTGCCTTTTTTTTGTGCTTTATCTGCCAGATACTCCTTTATCTGCTCTATCAATCTCCTACTGACGTTTGGAAAATACAGTTTAATAAAATCTGCTTTTCGAGGTCTTCTCTAACCCCTCTCCCAGCCAAGAGAACCAGCCTCCTCATCCTCTCTGTTTCCATAATGGTGAGCAATACTGCTGTAAATAACGTTCATCACATTATGCCCTAATTAATCATTTGCATGCATTATCTCCAAGACCAATGTCTTAGGAAACTCTGTCTCTACTTCTAGAGCTTAGCATGTTGTCTTGCCTTCAGTAAGTGCTTGACAAATGCTAGAGAAAGGGAGTAAAGAAAGAAGTGAGAAGGAACAGAAGAATGGTGTGTGGGAAGACAAAATGTAGGCAAAAAGAAGGAAGTGAAAAGGAATACATAGCATCCCTTAGAACAAGGTTCTGGGGTCAAGTCGTGCCTAGGTAGATTACTAACTGTGGAACCAGTGACCAGTTACTTAACCTCTCTAAACTCTTTATTAAGAGAATTGATGATACTTTTCTCATGAGGTATCATGATGATTAAGTTATATGGAATATAAAAAGCCTACCCTATAGTCAGTACACCCTATATCCTGACTGCTTCCTGTGAGCTGCCTCTGTGCCAGGCATTCACTGAACATTCAGAGGTCATGAAAGATATAGTATGCACCTTCAGGAAACTTAGAATCTGGTAAGATATTATTCAATGTTAAATAAATGATAAACAATTGTTATCTAAGAGGAATGAATGAAAAATTGTACAAGTAAGCAAAGAACTGATTAGGTAAGTCAGAGACCTATGGTACTCTCCCTTTTGCATATGTTTAGGTAGATGCCTATGAAGGGACACCTGAAAAAATTCAGATGACCAACGTCCACACAGGTAGAAGGAACATGTTGGCTGGAAAGCAAGAGGCCATGATTGACGTCATCCAGACAAATCCCTGCCCTGAGGGCCCGAAGCTGGCCAGGCACTCCCAAGGCCACTGTAAGTTGCATTTCTTCCTGATCCTCTTCATCATTACCAATTTGTTTTATAGCTGAGCATGGCCAAAATTTTAATTTATTTTACCAATATTTATTGAACATCTATTATGTGCCAAGCAACTTGCCCTAGTGAGGAAGCTATGCAGTACTGGGAAAAAAAAACAAAAAACAAAAAACAATGAATTCAAAAGCAGAAGTCTTGAGTTCAAACCTAAGCTCTAATACTTAGTAAGCTGTGTGGTAAGGATTTTATATTCCTGCAACTCAATTTCTTCATTTATAAAAAGAGATCATCATAATATGGACCTCACAGGGCTTTTATGAGGACCAAATCTGACAGTATGTCATATGATAGGTACTCAGCAAATGTTTATTCTTTTCTTTTTATATATACTAGCTCCTGTTGTCTAGGCTCACATCATCATTGACATGTACTGATGATAACACTATGGTGTCATTTGTGGACTTTATTCAGGTTGTATTTTACCTGCGTGTTAGTCAGGACTCTCGATTGCAAGCAACAGTAATCAAACCATACTATGTTAAACCAAAAAGAAAAGGAGATTCACCTAGCACAAAGTCTAGTCATGGTTGGATCCAGGGACACAAACAATATCACTTTTTGCACTCCTGGTTTTACTACCCTTTCAGGTGACACTTTAATAACAACAGAATGACCACAGTAATAGGACCTGGAATAAAGCATTTCTATACTAACCCTGTGATTTTGGGAAATTTACTTACTTTCATATGCAAGTGGTGATACTACTACTAATTTCCTAGGGCTATTTGTCAATGCATATGAAGTTTCTGGATCATATGTTAAGTAACTATTAGTCTTTTTCATTTATTTGTATTTTGAAAAATATCATACCATGCCTTACATTACAATTCATGATTTATGTGTTATCTCCCATGGCACACTGTGGGTACCTTGAAATCACAGACCATTTGGTATTTTTTTCTGTATCTCTGTAACCTGACACAGTATCAGGCACACAGGAGAAACCCAACTTAATTTTGTAGAATGAAAGGATAAATCAAACTTCAGTGTCTAAAAATATGGTGGACTAGGCAATATGAATGACTCTCTTGACTAAAACAAAGTGAAGAATCAATTTTTTAAAACATTCATAAAAGTATCACAGAAATGATTTATGAAGAAAATCACCCACAGGCCTGCAGTAACCAGGAAACCTGGGACGTGCGTGCCAAAGCTAACTTTTGCCTTGATGATTTTTACTGAGATCCAAATCCCTATTTAGTTTTATCCCAGATTTCAAATAATTCCCTCAAAGTATTCTTTAAAATATTAACAACTGATAGTCAAAAATAACCAAGCACAAGGAAACAACTTACAGTGAGGGAAAACCAGCAGAACAGATAGCAGACCTAACCTACAAGATATTGCAGATATTAGAATCATCGGGTATCACACATAAGGTGTTTAATATGTTTTTAAAATAGAGAATAATATGAATAGGGAATAACCATATTTTAAAAATATTTGAAAAGGAAAAAATAATAATTGATAAATTGATAAAATGCAGTGATTGCATTTTATATCACATTACCTACAGTTGAAGAGAAAATTAGTGAACTAAAAGATAAATCTAAAGAAATTATCCAAAATTCATTCTACAGGGGGAAATGATTTGAAAAAAAAAGAGTAAAAGAGAAGATAAAAGTCATGGAAGATAAAGTGAGAAGTCTTAAAATAGCAATAAAATCAGAAAAATCAGAATTCCATAAACAGATACTGGAAAAATGAGGAAGAGGAAATAATAGATAAAACAGATACTATCTGAGAATTTTCCAAAATTATTGAGAGAGATAAATTTGAACCAGTAACCCTAAGGTTCTTAAGCAGGATAAAGAACAGAAATCTATGCCTAGCCATGCAAAATGAAGAACATTAAAGAGTAAGAGAATATCTTAAAAGACCTTAAAAACAGACAAAGGGGAAAAACCAATCACCTACAAAAAGAAAAAAAAAATTGAGCTCTGACTGCTGAGTTCTCTCTGCTAAGTTTTCTCTGACTGCTGAGTGTGTAACGAGAATACAGTTTTGCTGAAAGAGATTAAATGTCTACCTGAAATTTTATGTCTCATAAAAATGTCTTTCACAAATGAAAGAAAAATAAGATGTTATCAGACAAATAAAAACTGGGACATTTTATTGTTCAGATAAAATGCACTGAAGGAAATTCTAAAGCATGTACTTCAGGCAGAAGGAAAATAATCACAGACAGAAAGTTGTGGATGCAAGAAAAAAAGTTAAGCGAAAGCATTAACGCAATAAAATAATGTCAAATTGAGGAAGATCTAAAATATTATAAAATATTGAACATTCATAGTGCTTATATTGAGACGGTGATTAAAGTGTCCTAAGGTTGGTAATTGTTTGGGAAGAGAGTAATGGTATTAATTTGCTTTAGCCTTCAAAGAATTAGAAGAGCTAGGATACATTCATTAAAATATACCGTTAAAAGAGTGAGAAGGTAACACCACACGTCTACAACCATCTGATCTTTGACAAACCTGACAAAAACAAGCAATGAGGAAAGGATTTCCTGTTTAATAAATGGTGCTGGGAAAACTGGCTAGCCATATGCAGAAAACAGAAACTGGACCCCTTCCTTATACCTTACACAAAAATTAACTCAAGAAGAATTAAAGACTTAGATGTAAAACCTAAAACCATAAAAACCCAAGAAGAAAACCTAGGCAATACCATTCAGGACATAGGCATGGACAAGGACTTCATGTCTAAAATACCAAAAGCAATGGCAAAAAAGAAGCCAAAGTTGACAAATGGGGTCAGATTAAACTAAAGAGCTTCTGCACAGCAAAAGCAACTATCATCAGAGTGAACAGGCAACCTTCAGAATCAGAGGGAATTTTTGGAATCTATCCATCTGACAAAGGTCTAATATCCAGAATCTACAAGGAACTTAAACAAATTTACAAAGAAAAAACAACCCTATCAAGAAGTGGGCAAAGGATATGAACAGACACTTCTCAAAAGAAGACATTTATGCAGCCAACAAACATATGGAAAAAAAGCTCATAATCACTGGTCATTAGAGGAATCCAAATCAAATCCACAATAAGATACCATCTCACGCCAGTTAGAATGGCAATTATCAAAAAGTCAGGAAACAACAGATGCTGGCGAGGCTGTGGAGAAATAGGAATGCTTTTACACTGCTGGTCAAAGTGTACATTAGTTCAACCACTGTGGAAGACAGTGTGGTGATTCCTCAAGGATCTAGAACCAGAAATACCATTTGACCCAGCAATCCCATTACTGGGTATATATCCAAAGAATTATAAATAATTCTATAAAGATACATGCACACGTATGTTTATTGCAGCACTATTTACAATAGCAAAGACTTGGAAACAACTCATCAATGATAGACTGGATAAAGAAAATGTGGCGCATATATACCATGGAATACTATGCTGAATATACCACGGAATACTATGGAGAAATTTATGCAGCCATAAAAAAGAATGAGTTCATGTCCTTTGCAAGGACATGGATGAAGCTGGAAGCCATCATTCTCAGCAAACTAACATAGGAAGAAAAAACCAAATACTACATATTCTCACTCATAAGTGGGAGTTGAGCAGTGAGGAACACATGGACACAGGGAAGGGAACATCACATACTGGGGCCTGTCGGGGGTGGGAGGCAAGGGGATGGAGAGCATTAGGATAAATACTTAGTGCATGCGGGGCTTAAAACCTAGATGACGGGTTGATCGGTGCAGCAAACCACCATGGCACAACAAACCTGCACATTCTGCACAGGTATCTCAGAACTTAAAGTAAAATTAAAAAAAAAAAAATTAAAAAGAGTGAGAAGGTAAGTGACTGTGTAGGAGAAGATATTTGCATTATTTACATATACCATTTATATATCAAATATTTACATATTTGATAAATGACTCATATTTGGAATACACATCTTCTATAAATGCTTGGTATTCAGAAAATATAAACTAGAAATCAATTTTTAAAAAAGGAAATGTAGTGAAATTAGAAAAATATTGAACAGGCCCTTCCCCAAGAGACTATCCAAAGGGCAAATACACTATGAAGATTCAATTCTGCTCACCAAATTGTCTACCATAGAAAAGACTAAAAGTATCAAGTGTTAGTGAAGATCTGGAGCAACTAAAACTCTCATTCTCTGTGGAGACTGTAAGCTGAGACAACCATTCTGGAAAACTGTTTGGTAGTACTAAGGTTGAACATATGCATATCCTATGACCTAGCAATTTCGTACTTATGTATATATCCCAATGTAAGTGCACAGTTTAATGCACCAAAACACACAGACAAAACGTTTGTAGCAAAACTTTTTGTAATAGCCCCAAATTGGAAACTGTCCAAATGCCCATAAAAAGTAGAATAGATAAATAAACGGTAACCAATTCACATAATAGAATAAAGTCATCGGAATCAACAAATTAAAACTATTTGCAACACTATGGATGAATCTCACAAACATAATATTGAAGGAAAGTAGGCGGCACCATAGAGTACATACTAAATTATTCCATTATTATAACATTCAAAAATAAGTACTGCTGGTATTAGAAGTCAGGACAGTGGTCACTCTTGTGGGTAACTATTAAAAGATAAATGAAAGAAAACAAATAGAAAAGAAAACAGAATGGCGGAAAAAGAAGAAACTTTAGCCAGACAAAGATAAGAAAAAAAATGGAACAAATAAAAATATATACTAAGATAATAGATATAAATTTTAAAATATCAGTAGACGCTATAAATGTAATACACTAAATTCACTAGTGAGAAGACACATGCATTCAAATCATTCGAAATTCAAATATATTAAGTGCTTTTTATGTGCCCAGCACTGTTCTAGGAAATGGGGGTATATAGCAGCAAACAGGCAAAAATTCCTTTTCTCACGGAGGTTACTTTCTGATCAGAGGAGACAGGCAATAAATAATAAAAGATCTATATTGAATGGTATTAATAGTAAATACTATGAAAAATAAAGCAAGCTAAGAGCATTAAGGAAGCAGATGAAGGTGACAGAGGTTGCCATTTTAAAGTGCTCATGGAATGGCGTGAACCCGGGAGGCAGAGCTTGCAGTGAGCCGAGATCGCGCCACTGCACTCCAGCCTGGGCGACTGAGCGAGACTCCGTCTCAAAAAAAAAAAAAAAAAAAAAAAAGTGCTCATGGATGACTTCAAAGACCTTAAGTAGCTGAGGAAGAGAGCCATATGTGTATCTAGGATATGAACGACCTAGGAAAAGAAAAAAAGTGCAAATCCCTGAGGCAGAAGTTAGCCAGATACGCTGGAGGAGCTGCAAGGAGGCCAGTGTGGCCTCAGAGTAACTGAGAAAGAGTATAGTAGGAGATGGGGTCACAGAAATAATAAGGGACTTCTGTAGATCATTGCAAGAACTTTAGCATTTACCATAAATGAGATTTTTAAAACCACTGAAAGCCTTTGAAAGTACAAGAAAGGCATGACCTGATTTGCATTTTAAAAAATCATCTGGCTTCTCTCTTGAAAATAAAATGTAAGCTAAATCGGGAAGAACGGTTAGGAGGTTATTGCAATAATTTAGGTGAGAAATGGTGGTAGCTTGGAGGAGGATACTATGGTGGAATTGCTGAGATGTGTTTGAAATCAGAATATAATTTGAAACTATAGTGGACAGATGGCTTTGGATTAGAAGTGAGAAATGAGAGAGAAATGAATCAAGGATGTCTCCAAGGTTTTGGGCCTGAGCAACATAAAGGATGGAATTGCCCCTTTTATGAGATTGAATAAACTTCAGGAAGAGCAAACTTGCAGAGAGAAGTTATGAGTTTGGTTTGGAATGTAATATGTTTAGACAACCAAAAGGAAATGGTGTGAAGGCTGATAAAGTATCTGGAATTCATGAGAGATGTCTAAATTGGAGATGTAAATTTGAGAGTCGTCAGTGTTTTTAAAATGAAGCCATAAACTTTTGCATTTGCTTCAGCCAAAAGGAAGGATTGAGGAAGGGAAAAAAAAATGCTGCAGACTAAGAAGCAACTGCGTGTTCAGCATCTTTATTTTGTATTGGAGAAATTTACTGATCACTCCTTGAGAAAAAGCAGGACCTTATGCCTCCAAGAGCTGACATTTGTTGAGATGGTTTGAGGCCTACACGCTCACTGACTTCTTGTCAGAGGATAAAATCTTATTGCTTGGTTCATTTAATTAATAGATACAAGTTAATGTGCTTGTTGTTTATTTCTCAAGTATATTACTTTCTATTTCTGATTAGTAGTTCATATCTGAATATGGCTATGAATTACCCATACCCTAAATATTAACCAATGCCAACAGATAAAGAAGTGGCAGTTTTATGGTTATGACAAGTTTACAACTCTGTGAAGTAAGCCAGCATCTGCATTTAGCTACCTGTGCAAACAATCCCTCTACATTTGTTAACCTGCCACACTATCTTCTGGCTAACTCCAGAATGAATTAATGAATACTGTATATTGATATGTGCTCAATCAACTTGTCTGAGAAATTTTGCTTTAAGAAATGCCATAAGACTGGATAAGATCATCTAGATGTAGAGAGATAAGCCCCAGGGATGTACCCTGGTAGACTTCAAAGTGTGAGGTCAGGGATTAAAGGAAGAACCATCAAAGAAGGGAGTTACTAGTTTACTAGGTAACCAGCACCCTTTTTAAGTATGTATTTAATCCTTGCCAAAACCACATGATTCGGTGTTAGCATTATTATCCTCAACTTCAGAGAATCATAACTGAGGCACTGCAAAGTGAGGTGGCTTGCCCAAGGATCATACATACCAAGACTGTAATCCAATTTGAGCCCATTTAATCTGCCTTTTCTTATGCTTGCTTGCATTGCCAGTGATGTGTGTGAATGACTTTTTGATGGCAGCTGATGAAATGTTTTTCAGGGGGAGTTTCTGGTTTCCTTTCAGGTGGGTATCTGGAGGTTTTGGAGTCGACTAAAGAAACTCCAGACCTAGGGGTCTCTAAGCCAAGTTCCATCTCGGAGGAGATATATGATGATGTCGAGTACTCCAGGAAAGAGGTGTAAGTAACGTTCCAGTCTTTCAGCAAGATGAATGTGATGAGACTTTAAAGGTACAAAAATAGTCTTTGTTATTTTCTCCCGTAGACCGAAGCCAAACTTCCGTAGCTCATTTGCCTCAAATAGTGGTAAGTATAGGAAGACATTTCTGAAGCTGCCAGTAGGAATTGCAGAATACTTCTATGACTGATTAGTGATAAGATGTCTTTTAATTATTCATATTTTAATAATACCAATTTGTGAGAAGCTAAGAGAAGCAGTATCAAGGTATGTGCTAACAGCAATACCAAGGTATGTGCTAATAAATGCATTTAGAATCAGGAACGTGAAGATGCTGGTAAGAGCATTCTTATGTAAAAGTGAATTTACTTCCTTCCTGATTTTTTACAATGGAAGTCTGATTATAAGAATGTTTTTACTTAAAACACTTTCTTGGCTTTCTAATACTTTAAAGATTGACTTCTGACATGATCTAGAGTCCTTGACTAACCTACCCCTACAGACCTCTTGAGCCTCATCTCATACTATACTCAGTCTTCACCTTTGAGACCCAGTTATACTGACCTTCTTTTAGCTTCTATAATTTGCCAAGCTCTCACAGCAGGGTATTTTCATATGCTTCTCCCTCCCTTTCCGAAATCCTCTTTCCTCCCCTGAGTCCCTTTGCTTCACTGACTCTTAATCTTCTAATCTCAGTTCCATCATTATTTCCACAGGGAATATTCTCCTTGGTGTACAATCTCATAGTACCATGGGCTTCTTTTTCATAGTACTTGTTGCAGTGGTAATTTTGTTCTTATGTGACTTTTTAATTAATGTCTCCCCTCCTAGATTATTACCTTCTTTATACATACCATTTTCTCCAGCCCCTAGCATAATGCCAAGTACATGTTAGATATTCAAAAGAATCTGTTGAAGGAATGAATTCATGAATGAAAAAGTAATGGGGAGGTGTTGGTCAAAGGATACAAAATTTCAATTAGGAGAAGTACCTTCAGGAGGTTTATAGTACAACATAGTGATTATAGTTAATAACAAAGTATTTTATACTTGAAAATTGCTGAGAGTAGATTTTTTAATTCTCTCCACGAGAAAGTATGTGAGGTAATGAATATGTTAACTAGCTTGACTTAGTCATTCCACTATGTATACAATTATCAAAACATGTTATAGATCATAAGTGTATATAATTATTTGTCAATTTTAAAATAAATTTTAGAAAAAGAAAAAGCAATGGAGGAGAGAGAATCAAATGTTACTCTGATTGATCTTCTTAGAATCCCAGAAGTTTAGAGGGAAAAACAACCTTAAATATCATTAAACCCAGCACACTCATTTTAAAAAGAAAATTGAGACATAGAGAAGTGACTCCTCTAAGATCATTGTGTGTTAAAGTCGAGTTTTGAACCTGAAAATCCTGACCCTTAATTCAAAGTTCTTTCCATTAGACTCTGTTTCAGGATTGAGTTAAAGTATATCTGTGTATGTTAAGCTTATGTTTTGGGCTAGGCCAAAGCCATGCTGTGAAGGGAGAGATTATTCAAGATATAGCTCATTTTCCATGGTTTCCCCGGCATTCAGCGCAATGCCTGATGCTTAGTAAATTCTGATTATTATGTATTAAATACAGAAAGGAGGGAGGGTGGAAGGAAGGAATCTATTGAAGAACCAACTGTCTTTGACTAAATCAGTTCAAACTTGGAATCAGGTGGAAATGAGTCTTAATTTTCATTTATACATACTTTTATAGAATTTTCAGTATTTTTACCATATGCTTTTAAACACGTGTGGCTGAGTTTCAGTAAAAACTATTTAACAAAAGAAAGATCAAAGTACCTAGCATCTAGTAAGTATCTAAAAAATTTTGTTAAATATGAATCTGAACTATTGCTATTGGAATGAATATAAGTAGGGTTTTTTAATTTCAGAAGAAAACAGAGAAGAAATGTATGAAGATGTCTACAAAACAAAGAACAACTACCCAAAGATAGAGTGAGTTTCTCTCTTTCTTGGCTTTGTAGGCTAATGATACTTCCCGTTGGTATAGTAAAGCCAGAGTTTAAATGAGAACCCACCTCCACCCCGCCCCACCACCACCCCCGACTCCCATCATCATCTCTTAGGAAAGATTCACACTGAAAGTTATGATAACCTATTGTAACATTACAATTGTGATCAACAGGATACTTGTAATTGTGTACAATCATATACTATACATATTAAATCACATTGTTCTCGCTTTTGAGAAATACCCATTTCCCAGAGTAAAGAATTTTGATATTGGGTTAGGAAATAAGTAATAAAAGAGACATAAATATTAATAAAACTTGCTTCAATTCTATAGCTGTTTTTCCAGGAACAAATCAGTGGTTATGACTTACCTGTGTCTCTGTAAGTTAGTAAACCTATCTCTGGGATTTGGGCTTAATACAACATGTAGTGATCCAGGGTTATCAAGAATAAAATTTGTTCAGATGGGTATTATTCGACAAGTTTAGTTATTAAGGACTTGTTGTGGAAAAGAAAACAGCAGTGGTCAAAAGCAAGGAATTTAAGGGTTCAAGGGGAAAAAGGAGACCCTGAACTGGACATGCTGGTTAGCATGAGGTGGGCATATCGTTCCCTCACTCTACCCCCTAAAAGCCCCAAAAGAGTATTTGACAGAATTGCACTTATCAGCTGGGTAATCAACGTATCACTATTGCTGTATTATTCAGTAAATTAAAAATCAATGATAAGAATTTCAAGAGCCAGGATTTCCTTTTTTTTTTTTTTTTTTAGGTCTTGGGTATAAACATTTTCTCATTTTATTTTTTTGAAAAGTATTTTTGTTATTACAGTTTTGCCTAGTAGATATTCAAGAGTGATGTGATGATTTTGTCCAAATGGGTGCATTTTTCCTGTTGTTATATTTGTTATTTTCTCATTCACTTACATGGTAGTGAGCAAGTAAAGAATAATTGCCTTTTTTGAATTGACTATAAAATGTTTTTAATTTGATATGATATTAGGTCATTATTTTTTAATGTTCTAATGTTTATTGAGAGTAAAGTATATCCCCTAATTGTGGGATATTATGTTTGACATATACCAATTAATTTGAATTTTTTGAGTTATATTGTTTAAACAATACTGTCAGGTCTCTGTTTGAAGAAGTCAGATCACATAGTGTGCACAGTCTAGATAAGGAAGATGAACAATAAAGAAATAAACAAATAGACAAAATTTTAGATACTGGTGAATATAAAGTAGGGAGAAGTATGAGTTGTTGACTGGTCGGGAATTTAGGTTGGATGGTCTCCAAAGAGGTATATTTTGTCATAGTTAAGACTCATATAGCCAACAGACATATGAAAAAATGCTCATCATCACTCGCCATCAGAGAAATGCAAATCAAAAGCACAATGTGATACCATCTCACACCAGTTAGAATGGCAATCATTAAAAAATCAGGAAACAACAGGTGCTGGAGAGGATGTGGAGAAGTAGGAACACTTTTACACTGTTGGTGGGACTGTAAACTAGTTCAACCATTGTGGAAAACAGTGTGGTGATTCCTCAAGGATCTAGAACTAGAAATACCATTTGACCCAGCCATCCCATTACTGGGGATATACCCAAAGGATTATAAATCACGATGCTGTAAAGACACATGCACACGTATGTTTATTGCAGCACTATTCACAATAGCAAAGACTTGGAATCAACCCAAATGTCCATCAGTGACAGACTGGATTAAGAAAATGTGGCACATATACACCATGGAATACTATGCGGCCATAAAAAAGGATGAGTTCGTGTCCTTTGTTGGGACATGGATGCAGTTGGAAACCATCATTCTCAGCAAACTATCGAAGAACAGAAAACCAAACACTGCATGTTCTCATTCATAGGTGGGAATTGAGCCAGGATTTTCTATAATGTATTTCTAGTACAGTTTGTAAACTACATTTCCCTGAGTTATCTTTTCCTCTAAAGGGAGGACTGCTTCATAAAATCTGCAAAATAGAGACACTTGCGGTAGTTTGTCTTGAAATATAATTACTTCCTTCATAGTTGACTGGTGTGTGCTACTTCGTATCACATCTAAACAAAGAAGAAAAGCATATAATTCAATAAGGCATTTTCTTGCTCTTTCCTGAGTGGGATGTGTTTTGGACATGAAACCAAAGCCTCTGGTTCTTTATTTTTTTAATAGACTCAGGGGTACATGTGCAGGTTTGATACATAGATATATTGCCTAATGATGAGGTATGGGTTTCTAGTGTACCCATTACCCAAATAGTGAACATTGTACCCAACAGGGAACTTTCCAACCCTCATTCTTCCTCCCACCCTCCCCCTTTTTGGAGTCCCCAGTGTCTGTTATTTCCATCTTTATGTCCATGTATACCTATTGTTTAGCTCCCACTTATAAGTGAGAACATGTGGCATTTGATTTTATAATACAACAGCCTTCTCTATCTCTAGTACTCTCTTAAATGCCATGTTACTTACGTCCTGTGATTCCTCTTAGTTTAGATGGAAAAGAAGCACTCAAAAGACTGCAGCAATTCTTCAAGAAAGAAAAGGATAGATTTAAAATAAAGAAAACCAAGTCAAAAGAAAACTTAAGGTAAAAAGTCCCTTTAAATCCCTTTCCATGAGGGGATTAACCTGGTAGATACACAGGTTGATGTTATCCATCCAGTCTAAGAAACAGTGAAGGGGATAGCAGAAACTAAAACCAAGGATCTGGCTATCATCTGCCTCTTTCTTGTGAGTTTTTGATTGAATTACATACACAGAGACTAATTAATGAGAAAGTGGCATGCTCCTTTGAAAAAATGGCAGAGAAAGGGTTGAAAATGAGGGTAGAGGGAAAATCTTAAGCGAAGTCCAGAAGGGAAACTTTCCTCATCATCCTTAACATCCTATTCCTGTTGTTACCACTAAGCGTTATGTTACTTACCATGTCCTTTTACGCTTTTGGGGCCCTACAAGCCCCAGTAGTTTTTATCTGTCTACTGTTCTATATTTAATTTATCTCCCTTGAGAGCAGCAATGTGTGGAAGAGGGAGATGAGCTGCTCAGCTGAACAGTTCGTGTATTGCAAGGTCTTAGACCTGGAAAAGACCCTCTGAAATGACCTAGGCTAAGTGCCAGTTTTGGGAGAGGTTCCAAACTCACTAGCACTAGAAAGAGATATGAGGGGAACCTGGATTCTAGATTCTAGTACCAGTTCTGCCATTTATTCCATGTATAACCATGGGCATATCACTTCCTTTGTATACCCGCAGCATTCCAGTTTTCTCTTGTATATAATGGAAGGGGGACTCTGGAGACACTTTGCAGGCAATAGATAGATATAGATGTAGGCATTACGGTGCTCCTCAATTTATGATGGGGTTATGTCCCAATAAACTCATTGCAACTCTAAAATATGTTAAGTTAAAAGTGCATTTAATACACCTACCAAACATCATCACTTAGCCTAGCCCATCTTAAACATGCTTGGAATACTTTCATCAGTCTACAGCTGGGCAAAATCATCTAACACAAAACCTGTCTGCAATAAAGTGTTGAGTATCTCATGTAATTTATCGAATACTGTACTGAAAGTGGAAAAAGAATGGTCTTAAGGATACTTGAAGTAGGTTTCTACTGAATGCGTATCGCTTTCACACCACTGTAAAGCAGAAAAAAGTCAAACCATTATAAGACCGGGAACATCTGTGTAGATATAAAGGTATAGAGATTTTATTTTGTGAGGGCAGAAGATGATAAAATAATTTGCCTAAGGTCATTACCTATAGTGAGATGGAATTATGTTGTTCTACCCTGAAGTTCTTTTTATTATAAAGCTTCAGAGTTTTGTGACTTTAAGTCCAACTGTTAGTTGGGTCTAGATCTACCAAGAGACCCAACAAAACATGAGGTTTATAAATTGTAGTCCTAATATGGAAGAAGAGGGAGTTTACCTTCTGTGGTCAACAAGACCCTATGCACAAAGGCAGACCCTGGCCTTAGCAAATTAGATGTTTTCTGAGAGAAAATTATTGGCACGATAACGTGCAGTCCCGTAATATTTGAGCCATATAAGAATGCTAATATTTTTAAGATGCAAATCTGATTACCTTTCTCTCAAAACTATTGGTTGGCTACATACAACATTTAGAACAAATATCCAGTTCCTTAGCCTGGCAAGTAAATACTTCATAGCTGTCCCCATTCTACTTCTCTAGTTCTGTCTCTCACTAAAAGCAACTCTCACTACCATCCAATCCACATAGCTATAGATCTCACACTCTGCCATGGTGTCTCATGCCTCCATGCTTTGAACATGACATTCCCATGGTCTGGAATGTACCTGCCCTCCTCCAGCCTTCTTTTATTCTCAAAGTTCTAGTTTTCCCTCAAAATTCGATCAAATATTATCCCTGCTTGAATTCCTCCCTTGAACTTCTCTTACCAAACCTGGATTATCTATGTTTCCCTTGTGTTCTCATAACATCCTGTGCACATCTTGTGAATCTGTTAATACCAGAGAAACCATTTTTCTTGGAGTCAGAGAATACCAGGGCAAGAAGGGCAATCCAGCGTCATCAATATGTTATTGGAGATCTGTCAGCTCATCTTTCGGAACATGTTTTTTCTCCTTAACTCTTTTGTGTCTTTTGTCAATCAACAGTGCGTTTTCCATTTTGCTGCCTGATTTAGGTAAGTGCCATTTGCTTATTGCTGACCAAAAGTACTCAGTTTTCATATATTCAGAGGCAGGGAAAGAGAAATGGTAACCCTTCCTGCATTCCCACATTTGATGAAAAATTGATCTACCAAAATCAAAGAAGATGTTTCATACAGAAGTATTTTTTTTTACATTGGGGAAGATGAATAATGTTTCTCAACTACCTACTATATACCGTGCCCTGGGGCAGATGTGTTCCTCTTAAAATCCCAGAGAAGTAAATGTTATCATCCCTTTTCAGAGAAGCTGTAGAACCTACATCCATATTTAAGTGATCCAGGATTTGTATTCCAGTCTCTCTGCCTATGAAACTCATGCATTTTGCATTCTACCATACTGCCTTTTGAAGGACTTGATATCCTTCATTCTAATTAAGACATAATAAGTTGAATATGATCACATTGCCACCAGCAAACTAACTGAATTGAGAATGGAGCATTGGAATGTTGTTTGCTTTTCCATTAAAATAATAGTGCATAAATTAGCACAGTGCATGACACATAGTAGGCTGTCAATACACGTTCAGTACATTGAATTTGTCAATAAAAGAGGGTCATGTGTTCTGTTGTTTGTTAATTTTTGTTTAGCGGTTCTAGCTATGTGGCTACCTGGATGTTACTTGAACTTGACAATTCAAATGTATATTATATTTTGTAAATATGAGTTTGCTGAACTAAAAAACAAGTGACAATTATATATACCTGATAAAATCCCACATCTCAACATATCCTTGGTCTATGTTTGAAAGAAAAAAGCTGACTTAGAATAGACATGCATTGTATCCCCACCCACATTTAAAGGTATTTAATAAAATAAGGGAGTGAATAATTATGAATAATTATATCCGAAGGTCTCAAACTTGTTCAGTGGTGAATCACCTGAAAATCGTGTAATTCTATGTAGAGTGCCAAGGAATGTGAATATTGTAAAATGAAAATGCCTAATCATTATTACGGCACTAAGTCAGATTCAACATTATGCAAGATTATTGTAAAGGAACAATTGCCAATGATTTGAAATAAAAACCATGGAAGAAAAATCAACATGACTATTCTATTAAGCTGTTTCTCCCCTCTAGGAGTTAAGAAAAGACCTCACTATTCTAGCAGTATAGCATATTTGTTCAATTCCAGAAAGATGGGAACTTAGTCTAAAAATGATTCTTTGAGCAACTCATTTTTCTGGAACTCTTTGTGAAATCAAATTAATATAAATATATATGTTTTGAGATACTGGGACATCAAACTTTTTTTTAATCTTTCAGTTGAATTTCTTCCCAAATAGCGAGTATTTTTATTCTTTGATTCTTCTACTCTATTTGTATTCTATGATCAGATTTTGCCAAAACAGCCCCGAAGATGCACCTGGATAATTAGGTAATTGGGTATAATTTGGAAAGCCAGTGCTTATATAAACCATGCTTAATAATGGACTATTTTGATCCTGTCTTGACCCTAGAACTTAAGTCTCAGGAAGTTATTATCTATGATGATGTGGACCTGAGTGAAAAAGAGTCAAAGTAAGTCAATTTACCTTATTGGTTATCCCTGCTGATATTTGACCCATTTCCTGATGCTTTCTTAATTATGATCACAGAACCATCTTTTCAGATCCTTGGAGATTGAATGAAAAGTCAACTTGAGATATTCTTCTCACTAACAGGGGAAAACACTGAATAACATATATGATCCAACAGTGGTAGGTGACCACAAAAGGCATTGGAGGTTTTGAGTCTGTTTCTGATTTTCATTTTTGAATTTAGACTTGAATCTCATTTTAACACATTTTAAAAATTATCTCCAATGTATATGACAACATAGAGGATAGCAAGCACTATGTGACAGAACCTCCATATTCAAGGACTAAATAACTATAATTTATCAAAAAAGATGGCTGGATGCAGTGGCTCTTGCCTGTAATCCCAGCACTTTGAGAGGCGAGGTAGGTGGATTGCCTCAGTCCAGAAGTTCAAGACCAGCCTGGGAAGCATGGCAAAATCCCATCTCTACTAAACTAGCCAGGCATGGTGGCACATTCCTGTAGTCCTAGCTATTCAGGAGGCTGAGGTGTAAGGATGGCTGGAGCCTTTGAGTCAGAGGTGTAGTGAGCCGGGATCACACCACTAGGCTCCAGCCTGGGCAATGGAGCCAGACCCTGTTTCAAAAACAAAAAACAAACAAACAAACAAACAAAAACACAAAACAACAAAAAAAAGCCATCCTTAAGTTTGATACTACCTCTCCAGTCACTTGTTATTTATACTTCTCCTCTTAACCAACTGGTTAAAAATAAAAGTCTCCTCTGTTCATGTTTCATTCATCTTTCCTTGATCACTTCAATTAGGTTTCCTATTATACCACTGAACTTATTTTTGGTAAGGTCACTAATAACTCCTTTGTTAAATCCAATGGATACTTTTAAGCCTTTATTTTATTTGTCTTCTCTATATCTTAAACTGTGAACCATGCCATCCTCCAAAGGAAAAAAAATACTAGTTTTTCCCTAGGTTTCTATGTTGTTATTATTTCTTCATTATTTGATGTTATTTTTAAGTTGACATATAATAATTGTACATATTTTCTAGGTGCATAATGATGTTTCGATACATAAAATATATAGTGATAAGATCAGGGTAATTAGCATATTCATCATCAAACATTTATCATTTCTTTGTGTTGAGAATATTCAATATCTCCCTTCTAGCTATTTAAAACTATATATTATTGTTAACTATAGTCATCCTATGGTAGTTGTATTAGTCCATTTTTACACTGCTATAAAGAAATACCTGAGACTGGGTAATTAATAAAGGATAGAAGTTTAATTGACTCATAGTTCAGCGTGGCTGGTGAGGCCTCAGGAAACTTACAATCATGGCAGAAGGGGAGGAGGCACATATTACGTGGCGGCAGGTGAGAGAGAGAAGAGAAAGTGAAGGGGGAAGAACTCCTTATAAAGCCATCAGATTTCATGAGAACTCATTCACTCTCATGAGAACACTATGTGGGAAACTGCCCCCATGATCCAGTCACCTCCCTCCCTCGACACGTGGGGATTACAATTCAGGTAAGGTTTAGGTGGAGACACAAAGCCTGACCATATCAGTGATATAGAACACTAGAACATATTCATCATAGCTCACTGTATATTGTATCCTAAACTAATCTCTCCCTATTCCCTACTTTCCCAGCCTTTAGCATCCTCTGTTCTACTCTTTATTTCTATGAGAGCAACCTTTTTTAGCTTCCATATATGAGTGAGAACATGTGGTGCTTAACTTTTTATTCCTGGCTTATTTCACTTAACATAATGTCCTCCACTTCCATCCATGTTGCTGTGAATGACATGATTTCATTCTTTTTTATGACTGAATAGTTCTCTGCCGTGTGTATGTTTATCACATTTTCTTTACCATTCATTTGATGTTGGATACCTAAGTTGATTCCATATGTTGGCTATCACATATAGTGCTGCAATAAACATAGGAGCATAGATGTCTCTTTGATATAATGATTTCATTTCCTTTGGATTAATACCCAGCAATGGAACTGCTGAATCATACGGTATTTCTATTTGTAGTTTTTTAGGAACCTCCATACTGTTATTCATAGGTGCTGTACTATTGATATTCCCACTAAGAATGAAGAAGGGTTTCCTGTACTCCACATCCTTGCCAGCGTGTGTTATTTTTTGTCTTTTTGATGATTGCCATCCTAACAGGGATGAAATGATACCTCATTGTGGTTTTGATTTGCATTTCCCTGGTGATTAGTGATGTTGAACATTTTAAAATATGTTTATTGGTCATTGTATTTTATTTTTTTTTATTCTACTTTAAGTTCTAGGGTACAAGTGCACAACGTGCAGGTTTGTTACATAGGTATACATGTGCCATGTTGGTTTGCTGCATCCATCAACTCATCATCTACATTAGGTATTTCTCCTAATGCTATCCCTCTCCTAGGCCCACACTGACCAACAAGCCCTGGTGTGTGATGTTCCCCACCCTGTGTCTAAGTGTTCTCATTGTTCAATTCCTACCTATGAGTTAGAACAGGCAGTGTTTCATTTTCTGTCCTTGTGATAGTTTTCTGAGAATGATGGTTTCCAGATTCATCCATGTCTCTGCAAAGGGCATGAACTCATCCTTTTTATGGCTGCATAGTATTCCATGGCATATATGTGCCACATTTTCTTAATCTAGTCTATCATTGATGGACATTTGGGTTGGTTCCAAGTCTTTGCTATTTCAAAGACACAGACTGGCAAATTGGATAAAGGGTCAAGACCCATCAGTGTGCTGTATTCAGAAGACCTGTCTAATGTGCAAAGAGACACATAGGCTCAAAATAAAGGGATGGAGGAAGATCTACCAAGCAAATGGAAAGCAAAAGAAAAAAGCAAGGGTTGCAATCCTAGTCTCGGATACAACAGACTTTAAACCAACAAAGATCAAAAGAGACAAAGAAGGCCATTACATTATTATAAAGGGATCAATTCAACAAGAAAAGCTAACTATCCTAAATATATATGCACCCAATACAGGAGCACCCAGATTCACAAAGCAAGTCTTTAGAGACCTACAAAGAGACTTAGACTCTCACACAATAATAATGGGAGACTTTAACACCCCACTGTCAATATTAAACAGATCAACAAGACAGAAGGTTAACAAGGATATCCAGGATTTGAACTCAGCTCTGCACCAAGCAGACCTAATAGACATCTGCAGAACTCTCCACCTCAAATTAACAGAATATACATTTTTCTCAGCACCACATCACACTTATTCTAAAATTGACCTCATAATTGGAAGTAAAGCACTCCTCAGCAAACGTGAAAAAACAGAAATCATAACAAACTGCCTCTCAGACCACAGTGCAATCAAACTAGAACTCAGGATTGAGAAACTCATTCAAAACCACAAAACTACATGGAAACTGAACAACCTGCTCCAAAAGGATTACTGGGTAAATAACGAAATGAAGGCAGAAATAAAGATGTTCTTTGAAACCAATGAGAACAAAGATACAACGTATCAGAGTCTCTGGGACACATTTAAAGCAGTGTGTAGAGGGAAATTTATAGCACCAAATGCCCACAAGAGAAAGCAGGAAATATCTAAAATTGGCACCCTAACTTCACAATTAAAAGAACTAGAGAAGCAAGAGCAAACAAGTTCAAAAGCTAGCAGAAGGCAAGAAATAACTAAGATCAGAGCAGAACTGAAGGAGACAGACACACACAAAAAAAAGTTCAATAAGTCAATGAATCCAGGAGCTGGTTTTTTGAAAATATCAATAAAATTGATAAACCACTAGCAAGACTAATGAAGAATAAAAGAGAGAAGAATCAAATAGACGCAATAAAAAATGATAAAGGGGATATCACCACCAATCCCACAGAAATACAAACTACCATAAGAATACTATAAACACCTCTAAGCAAATAAACTATTGGTAATTTTAATGTCATCTGTTGAGAAATGTCTGTTCATTTGCCCATTTTTAATTGAATTTTTTTTTTCTGTTAAGCTGTTTGAGTTCCTTGTATATCCTGGATATTAATCACCTGTCAGATTAATAGTTTATAAATATTTTTCTCCATTCTGTAAGCTGTCTTTCCACTCCGTTGATTGTTTCTTTTACTGTACAGAAGCTTTTTAGATTGCTGAAATCCTATTTGTTCATTTTTGCTTTGTTACCTGTGCTATTGAGGTCTTAGTCATAAAACTTTTCCTAGACCAATGTCCTAAAGTGTTTCCCCTATGTTTTCTTCTAATAGTTTTAGAAGTTTGGGTCTTACATTTTAAGTCTTTGATTTATTTTTGATTTTTGTATAGGGTAAGAGGTAGGATGGGGTCTAGTTTTATTCTTCTGTGTATGTCTATCCAGTTTTCCCAGCACCATTTATTGAAAAGACTGTCCTTCTCCCACTGAGTGTTCTTGCAATCTTTGTCAAAAAGCAGTTGCTTGTAGATACATGGATTAATTTCTGGGTTCTCTATTCTGTTCCATTGGTTTGTGTGTCCGTTTTATGCCAATACCATGCTGTTTTGGTTACTAGAGCTTTGTAGAATATTTTGAAGCCTGATACTGTGCTTTATACAGATTTGTTCCTTTGCTCAGAATTGCTTCAGCTACTTGGGGTCTTTTGTGATTCCATACAAATTCTAAGATTGTGTTTTCTATTTCTGTGAAAAATGGCGTTGGTATTTTGATGGGGATTGTATTGAATCTGTAGATAGACTTGGGTACTATGGTCATTTTAACAATATTAATTCTTCCAGTCTATGAACATGAGATGTCCTTCCATTTGTTTGTGTCATCTACAATTTATTTCATCAGTGTTTTGTCATTTTCTTTGTAGAGATCTTTCACCTCCTTGGCTAAATTTATTCCTAGGTATTTTTGTTTTTTTGTAGCTATTATAAACCAGATTGCCTTCTTGACCTCATTTTCAGCTAGTTCTTTGCTCATGTATAGAAATGCTACTAATTTTTTTATGTTGTTTTTGTAT